AGCCATATCTCATTAGACAGGCAAAAAGTAAATTCAACTGGAAGGAGAAAAAAATATGGATTACAAGCACAGATTAAAAAAAAAAAAAAAAAAAGGGATAGTGCCTATTCTATAATTTGCTTTTTTTCACTTAATAAGTCATGGTCATTTCCCATAAAAGTACACCCAAGTAGATATTATTTTTAATGGCTAAATAGTATTTCACATCATGTGAATATGCCATAATTTACTTAACCAATTCCTTCATAATGGGCATTTAGATGTTATCACTCTGGATGAAGTGTGAAACCATGTTGAAGCAAACACTGGGTCTCTTCCAGCTGTCTGAACCAATTTCAGCATGTAGTTTGCACAATCCTAGATTTACATTTTACTTCAAAATGCTCTATGGTAAAGGGACACAACCTATTTTGAGTTTCTTTTGTAATGAAAGCCCCAGCCAGCACCCCAACCCGTGTCTAGAAAGTCTAGACTCTAGCCTCATCTATGTGCTTCATCTTTCAAAAGCCAGTTTTCCCATCTACAAAAAGATGAGATCAATAACCACATAATGGGGTGAATTACAGGAAATAATGTTTGAAAGGGAGATCATGGGGTCTGGTCCATAGTTCTTAAAAAAACAGAGGCCCATTCCTATCTGACACTGAGAGCTAGCAAATCGCTTTATCATGGTCAGCAAAGTAACTCCTGGTCAGGGACACAGAAGAAAAGGGTCATCAGGATACTACATCCTTTTAACCAGGAGAGAGATTTCTGCCCCTTATTTTAAGGTAGTAAAACGAGTCTTACGGGTATCTTTTACACTAGTATTAAAAATTGTGAACAGGAGGAGGAGATCATCAAGACTGTGATAAAAAGCAGATCCTTTGCCATTGTGAGATAAGTAGCCGGAAACACTGGATATTCAGCTGGTCAAGTGGCAGCTTCTGATAACAAGCAGACTTGCAAGAAGATTTCCCAGAATAGACTAACAAGACAAAGGTACCACTGGGACCTGTGTTTCTTTAGAATTTGCTTTATTCCCTTTCAAAGATGATATAATACATGCTAATTATACAAAAAAACAAGACAGATAAACACAAATTTTTAAAAATTAAACTAATCCCATCTCATGTCTTCTTACATGATATTTAAAAAATGCCTGAACTAGGGTATATATGGGGGGGGGGGCAATGTTAAAATATGTACACAGATAATAATTTAATAAAAAAAATGAAAAAAAAAATAAAAATAAAAAATGCCTGAACTATTTTAGCCAGGTGTTTCCTTATATTTAATGGTTATATTTAATCATCATTATTAATAAGTTAGTACATAACTGGAAAGCTGGTTTTAAATCTGAGGGCCTTGCCCTGGGAGTGAGACACTACCTCTGTGTTTAAGACACTACCTCCACCTGGTGGCGGCACTGCCAAACTACAAGTCCTGGTGCGTCTGGGCTGAAATAACATGAGAGTTGTGAAGTACCAGCAAATGTCATGGGCCACAAAAAACTGAATCGTTCCCCTAAGCCTCCTATAGATCTTTTGTGGGCAGAGATTAAAAAGGTTAGAATATGTGAACTTCAGTAAATGTGAACTTCTTTAATTTTGTACTAGCTGTATGCACTTATTTTCGTATTTGGGAAGAAAGATTAAATGGTCTCTCCTGTTTTGAAAGAAAGTCCAAATTTGCCCAGGTCCACCATAATTTGCATGGAGCACAGGCCCTGTCTCCTCCTCCCCACCCCCCTCCCCCTGCCCCTAATAGGCATGCACTAGTGAGCACTCCAGGTGGCAGTCACCAGCCCCTGTGGTTAAATCTGCAATGTCTGTGCTCAGGACTGTCCGGCCAGTCTGTGACTGCCCTGTGTGTGGCATGCCCAGAGAGCAGAGCTCTTGCATTGACTTTGGAGGGCCAGTTGGAGCGAAGGATTGCGAACCCAAGCATGGATTCACTGCTGTCCATTACATAAGACTGTGTTTGCTTCTCACCAGCCAAACCCTGGGCTCGTGGGTGTTTCTATTCCAGCTGATAAATTGGTAGTAAATATGGTATCAATCACTGTAGTACATTCGGACCAGTGACGACATGTTGGAGTGGTGAACTTCTTAAAGGATGCGTCCAATGCAATTCTGTCTCGGCGTGGTTTTGTGCTGGAGGCAGGCACCCGGACAGCGACAGCATGCTGAACTGTGGACACCGTTTTCTCCATGCTTTTCTGAATGCAAGAAGCACTTTTACCTATTGTAGAATGGGTCTGAATTCAAACCAAGTTTAAGGGTCTTGAGGTTAAAATGCTTTAAACTATGGAAAGTTGTTTTTTTGTTTTGTTGTTTTTTTTTTTAAAGATGTTGTGAACCTTCTTGGGATCTTTCTGGGAGAGGAGTTTGTATATTTTCTTACCACATGTGGTGAAGCCCTATTTGGCTTATCTCCTTGTTTGGATAAATGTGTCTAGAGTTGGAGCTGCCCTACTGGCTGATGAAATATTTTTCTAAATGGTTGGCTGGGCTTGATGCAACATAGCCAGAGAGACATTCCTTGCATCAAATTTCCATTCTCCTCATATGGTTAAGGACATTTTCCCTCTCCATCCTTGCCACAGAAAGCAATCTTTGAGTTCGTTTTCATGTCAATAACTAGCTGAAAAAGCCACAAGCTTTCTTTTGAAAATTAAAACAATTCCTTTGACCTGCACGTTGAAGTACCTGTAAGAACTGCTTTGTAGTCCATGAATTTCTCAAGTCAAAGCCACTGTTCTGCCTGATGGAAAAAGATTTCCACAATAAAAGGGAAGCTTTTGATCTATTGTAAATTAAAAACTACAATAAAGAGAAAGACAGAATAAAGTGGGACAAAGTGTTTCCATCACAGAGCTTTTACACTGTGCCAAGTTCTGCCTTCACGCTATATGTCTCAGCCAAGCCCGGTCCCGACCCAGGAGACGGTGGCCTCTCACCCTATTATGGGACTACAGGACTGTGTTTATGGTACTTTTCTGAAATATCTTCAGCATTCAAAATAAAATCTACAGGAAGTAATGCATGGCCCATAAATCAAGGCAGTCTAATTAAAAGCAGGCTTGGTGTTATGAAACCGCGTTTACCCACATTACAATTAACAAGAGAGCTGTTATTCTCCCCACGGTCTGTTCTCAGCAGCCTCTAATGAAGCAGCTCCAGAGCCACCTCGAGTCATGGGGCTTCTGGTTAAGGAAAATACTTCAAAGCTTCGGACTATTGTAGTTTCTTTGTTTAACCAGACACCTGATTTTCTAGGGTTCTACTACACTGAAACACACAGCAAAGGAAACCATTCCCCCCCCCCCCAAATATTTCAGAATGGTATAATATAGTAAGAGTATAACCAATGCGGGGATAAAAAGTTATATATAACATCCTGAAAAATCTATACGTTAAACTACACTTGAATTTATTGCCACTTAATCCAGAAAGCAGCTGTATTAAATGCTCAAATCTCTATATCCACAGCACAACAGAAAAAAGACAAACTAATTCTTCTGGCAAATTAATATAAAACAAAAACAATAAAAGCCATAAAGTGAAAAATAAAACATGGCAGGGAAAGCAAGTTTTAATTGAATAATTTATCTCTGTGATTTAACTCTATAATTATAATAGAGACCCAGTGCACAGATTCATGCTCTGGTGGGGTCCCTCGGCCTGGCCTGCGGGGATCAGGTGGAAACCAGCTCTCGGACATCCCCTGAGGGGTCCCAGATTGCAAGAAGGCAGTACTTGGGTGATGCACCCCAGAATCCAGCTCCCTCCTTTCTGGTTCCAAGTGCATCACCAGAGAACTGCAGCTGCCAAGTCACCGGTGACTTGGCAGCTCCTGCGTTGAGTGTCTGCCCCCTGGTGGTCACTGTGCATCATAGCTACCAGTTGAACGGTCACTCAGGCTTTAATATATATAAATTGCCCAGGAGCTTTCTAATTTGATGTATTATATAAAAAAGATGAACTAATAGTAGCCAAAGGATGCTCTGGCCAGCTCCCTTGTTTAGAGCATTATCCTGATACATCAGAGTTGTGGGTGTGATCTCTGGTCAGGGCACATATAAGAAGCAACCAATGGCCCTGACCAGGAGGCTCGGTTGGTTGGAGCGTCCTGTACACCAAAAGGTTGGGGTTTGATTCCAGGTCAAGGCACATACCTAGGATGTGGGTTTGAACCCAGATCGGGCACATATGGGAAACAATCAATCGATGTTCCTCTCTTTCTCTTACTTCCTTCCTCTCCCTCCAAAAATCAATTAAAAAAAAAATATCCTTGGGTAAGGATTAAAAACAAAATTTTTTTTAAAAAAAGCAACCAATGAATGTGTACATAAGTAGTACAACAAATCAATGCTTCTCTCTCTCTCTCTCTCTCTCTCTCTCCCTCTCACGTTTATTTTCTCTCTAAAATCAATTTTTTAAATTTTTAAAAAATAGTAGCCAAAGGATAAAGATATTTTATACCAAATATAACAATGATAGAAACGGCTATCTAAATATCAATTCTGGGAAATTTCCATATTTATATATGTACAATTAAAGATAAGAAACGCATATCATGAAAATGAGACCAGAATTGTGGAAGATAAGACAATGGGTAACTATATTACTTCTGAATCTTTTCCTTAATTTTTATTTATTTATTTATTTATTTATTTATTTATTTATTTATTTTAATATATTTTATTAATTTTGTACAGAGAGGAAGGGAGAGAGATAGAGAGTCAGAAACATTGATGAGAGAGAGTCATCGATCAGCTGCCTCCTGCACACCCCCTACTGGGGATATGCCCGCAACCAAGGTACATGCCCTTGACCGGAATCGAACCCGGGTCCCTTCAGTCCCCAAGCCGACGCTCTATCCATTGAGCCAAACCGGTTTCGGCTCTTTTCCTTAATTTTTAAAGTAGATATATTTCTATAAAGTATTTGAGCAAATTTTCTTGTTCTAAAAAAGGGTCAAAGTAAACATAACACATATTAACTTAGATCCATTAAAAAAAAATTATTACTTCTTATGTTACAATCCATCACTGAAAATCTGTGTTGAACTGTCATTTTATATTCTAACCATCAGATTTCCTATCAGCTAGTGGTCAAATATTATATGGAAATATTTAGTTAGTACTATATTGACTTACATGATTTCAACACTTAGGGGAAGTAGGAGGATAATTGGGATAAAGAAAGGAGAGGAGCACAAAGTAGTAAAGGAGAGAGGGAGAAATAGAAGAGATTCGGAATGCTGACTGCTGAGACCCTCATGCCCCAATCCTATGCAGTGGTCCAGTGGTCGACCTTTTCTTTTCATAGGGTAAATAAAGCTATTCTAGAGAAGCTTCTGCAAAAAAACAGGAGTTATTTCAAATCTGAAATATATAAACAAACATATATATAGGTATACTGTCTGTGCATGTATGCCTGTAGAGATATCAGACAAGAGAGGATAATGTAAACTTATTCTTTAAAATGGACAAGTAGAATGAAAGGAAGAGTTTATACAAATAACTACATTATTTTAGTATTATTTTCCTTCTAATTATAGAATATCTTGTGAGCTAATATTAGATGTCATTCCTCAAATCATGATGAAAACCATAAAAATACCAGAATAGAAATAATGCAGAAGACTGTTTTGATAAACATATGGCCTAATTTCTCCTCAAACAGAGTTTGCAGGTAGTTGAAGAGTTAAAGAATTAACATAAAACTGAAAATAAATAGGGTCACCTTCTAAACTTCAAAATTTGATCAATTTAAGATAAATCCAACCTGACAAATTCCTAAGATGTTCCTTAACAACTGGCACAATCTTTACTAGTTTTATACGACATGATGCCTAAATTGGTTGAAAGATTAGACTTACTAAAATTTATAAGATTTTTTTCCTATTAAAGAAAGATACTGTTACTTTAAGGGAACAAGGCATATTTTCTCTCTGAAAATGTACTTAATTCACGTTACCTCTACTCTGGGGACCATATCCAGTAAAAACATGTAAAAGAACCTGGGGGAACTTAGTTATGGGCATATAAGTTGCCACAGGTTGAACTGTTCGATTGTTTTAAATGTTGGAATTGATCTCTAGCAAGGCTACCCTGACAAGATTTATCAGTTCGCTATGTTAGCTAACTTTTATTGAGTGCTCACTATGTGTTAGGCTGCAGGCAATCACTTCCCCAAATATTCTTTTATTTAATCCTTCAAAAGTCTAGAAGGTAGAAACTTAGTTTGCATGCGACAGTAACTGCTAATTGCCTCTGGGTATCCATTCTCCCCTTTTCCTTGTAACAGAATCCTATTTTGTTAAGGGAAGCAAAAAGATGAGTTAAGACTACATTCCCAGCCTTCTTCCCTACAGCTGCTACATGTGTCCATAAGACTAAGTCTAAGGCATTCGATCACACAGAAGGGTTACTTGGAACTTTCAGAATGACATTTTAAAGGGAGCTGACTCAACTGAGAGGTACACTCTTTTGTCTCCACTCCTCCCCTTTCTTAACATCACACTTGATACTTTAAGTCATCACATTCTGGCCTGCAAGGTTGGGATTCCTGGACAATCAATTGACCAGCCCTGAATTACCTACCTACTTCTAGATGTTTTTGTTTTAATCCTCACCCGAGGATATGTTTTTATTAATTTTTAGAGAGAGAGGAAAGGAGAAAAATAAATAAATAAATAAATAAATAAATAAATAAATAAATAAATAAATGTGAAAAACATCGATTGGTTGCCTCCCGGAGAAACCTAGGTATATGCCCAAACCGGGAATTGAACCCGCAACGCTTTTGGTATATGAGACAACACTTCAACTAACTGAGCCACCCGGTGACGGCAAACCTTTGCATGTTTAAGCCACCCCTACATGCAGCTAAACCCATTCTGAGACACACACGGGGAAAATGAAGGCTGCTGAGGTTAAGAAATATGTCTATATTAACCCAACAAGTGAAGTGCAAGGATGCTCACCTCAGTCTGTCACACTTCATGGCTCACACTGTTAATAATCAGCCGGAAGAATGTAAGCTCCAAAACTGGCAGTATGTTTTTCTGCTCTATTCATTGCTATATCCCTGTGCTAGCACACAATAGATGTAAAGTGAATAATTTAAATTGCTTCACTAGTTTATCAGATAGAAGTTTAAATAGGGTCTACATCACATTACATCCTTTTAGAAACCTAAAACACTTATGGGAGAAAATAGATTGTTTTGGCAAAAGCAGGACATCAGTGAAGCAAGACAAAATACCTAATTATTGTAAAACACTGAAATTAAGTCACATCACTTCTTGAGAAACAACACGAGTAAACTATTTTCTTACCTATAGTTACATCTCCCCTGATTTCACTTTCTACACACACAACTGCTCCAGGAGCAATCTTCACACTGAAGGAAGAAAACAGGTAACATTTAGCATGGGTGAAGTTTACAAATATTGTTATAGAAGCCATCATACCCTGTGATGAAAAAAGGCTAAGAAAAAAAATTGATGGATACTAGTAAAGGCAAAGTAAATTGTAAGAAGGTAAGGTTTAATATATTATAAACTTTTCAGCTGGCATACTATACATTAGGCTAAAATCATCTATGAGCCCTTATTATTAATTACAATGCTTGAGAGAAAAAGAGGCTTGAATCCTTTTCTTTCAACACCGGCACCAAAAAGCTGAAAACACAGATATCCATTAGTAGGGGACTGGTTAATAAATTATAGTATACTATGGACTAAAACACAATAATAAAAAAAAGAATAATTCTTTATGTAAAGATTTAAAATGATCTCCAGACTACAAGAAAAAGAAGAAGAAAAAAAAAGAAAGAAAGCCAGCCCTGGCTGGATGCTCAGTGGTTAGAGCATCAGCCAGCAGACCAAATGGTCTCGGGTTCAATTCCCAGTCAAGAGCACATACCGGTAGGGGTGTGTACGGGAGGCAACCAATCAATGTGTCTCTCTCATGCCAATGTTTGTTTTTTTTCTCTCTCTCTCCCTCCCTCCTTCACCCTCTCTCTAGAAATCAGTGGAAAAAATATCCGAGGATTAAAATAATAATAATGATAAAATAAAATTAAAAAGAAAAGCAAAGCCAGAAAATGGACAGTTTATATACTATGCCACTACTTTTGTAAAAAAGGGGGAAAAGAGTGTATATTCAAATTATTTAACCAGCAAGGTAATATTAATATAAAAATTAATGTAATGCATACATGTTCCTATTTATTTTCTAACTGTATATAAAACTGCTTATTGAATGATATAACTTATAGTTCAAACTGTTCAAAACAAATATTGATATTCTGCCCTGATCTTTTGTTTGACACAGCTGAATCTAGCTAAATGCTGCCCTAGCTGAGTGTTGTGCTGATATAAACTGTACCAAATGATTTTCCCATTAAATTGACAGTAAGTAACTTTTTCACATTATGCAAAGAATTTTTCTTAGGGGCAATAAATCTACTCTCAGCTTCTATGAAATAACAACATTTTAGATATTTTGACTTTAGAATTCTATTTGGATTTTTCAAAATTTTGATTTCTAGTTGTCCATTGCTAGTACATTATAAAAACACAGTAATTTTGTATATTGACCTTGTGTCCTGACCTTGCTTAAACCCACTCAAACCCACTCAGTTCGAGTAGCTTTTTTGGTAGGTTCTCTGGGTTTTTCCATGTAAAAACTTTTGTGTTCGGAGAATAGGGATAGTTTTAGTTCTTTTTCCAATTTGTATGCATATTATTTCTTTTTCTTGCCTTACTGTTCTGGCTAGGACTTCCAGTACAATATTAAGTAGGAGTTAGGAGACCAGACACCCTTGCCTTGTTCTAGCTTTGTAAGACCAACAAAAGCTATCAAATTACCTTCTAAGACATGAATTTTGCATTTTAAAAAATTATTAAAGCTGAAACCCTCTCTCACCCTCATCTTCCCTCCCTCCCCTCTCTCTAGAAATCAGTGGATAGAGCATTGGCCTGCGGACTGAAGAGTCCGGGCTTTGATTCTGGTCAAGGGCATGTACCTTGGTTGCGGGCACATCCCCAGTGGGGGGTGTGCAGGAGGCAGATGATTAATGTTTCTCTCTCATCGATATTTCTAACTTTCTATCTCTTTCCCTTCCTCTCTGTAAAAAAAAATCAATAAAATATATTTAAAATAAAAAATTATTAAAACCTGGTATGTGAAACCATTGAAGCTTTGTTGACCAAAACGTTACTGCCTTGATTTATAAATTCTTCAAAAAGTTATTTTCTCATTTCAGCAATTATTTTACCACCAGCAAGGACCAGAAATCTAGATTGCAATGACTCACTCATATCAATATTATTTTATAAGTTCTACTAATATTAATATATAAACATGCAGGGCACAAACTCTTTAACATGTCTCTCCATCATTCATATTTCAGAATCCCCCCCAATATTGCAATATAAGTGCAAAGTAATACCAAAAATATTTTAAATCATATCAACTTCCCTACTGCTGATAAAGTTAAGAAAGACATGCACAAATTCTTCTTCCACAAATTTCAGTGAACAAAACTTCCTACCACAAAATATTTTTAAAGCTCTAAGCAAAAAGTGTATATATCAAACAAAAAACGAATAATCCCTGGGTCTAACTTCAAGAAATGTTTGTGAGACTAGACACAGCTACAGGTATTTCCATCATTTTGACATTCACTAGCTTTGTACAAGGCTCAAGTTCATGAAATTTGAAAATGACCTATCTGGGTTACTATGTGCCACCTGATTCTGCTGAAATCACAGAAAATATAGAACCTTTCTATGAGTAAGAAAGAAAAACTTGAGTAACGTAACTCAGAAAATAATCTCTCATTTTGCAGATGAGGAAACAGAAACCCAGAGTCTAGAAATTTCTGGAAGCAAAGTTCACTGGTGGGGCATCACTATCCTAGCACCAATCATCTCTTTTCTGTTGAAAGTTTTCTGGAAAGAACCTGTCATTTCGGATATTTTTCCTTTGAGAGATGTGATCCTTGAATGTATCACCATTTATAGATGACAATTCTCTAATGCCTTTCATTTAGAGTGGGTTTGTGCGCTAAACTATGTATTTATTAAGCTTTGGTCAAATAAATGAGGCTTTATATATAAATGCCTCTTGTTTTAGACCTTATTTCCCATCCCAACTTTCCATTCCCTCAGCTTCCCTCTAATTTTTTATGACAAGAGCATTATCTAACATTTGATTTCTCCTGACAAGTGAAGACAGGAGCAATTCACAAGTCTCCCTCTGTCTTCAGTTTTAATGCCCCAGGTAGAGTTTGTGTCACAATCAGCATACTTCTGTGCTGCAGGAAGTAATTAAATTCACCTTTATATCAACTAAAAAAATATATGGTCCAAACACCTCCGGGTAGACACACTGCCTCAGACTGGTGGGGCAGAGAAGCAGCAGGCAGCCAAGTTCTATTAAAATAAGTCAACCAGCCCTGACCGGTTTGGCTGTGGACTGAAGGGTCCCAGGTTCCATTCCGGTCAAAGGCATGTACCTTGGTTACAGGCACATCCCCAGTAGGGGGCGTGCAGGAGGCAGCTGATAGGTATTTTTTTTCTCATCCCTATCTATCCTTTTCCCTTCCTCTCTGTAAAATAATCATTAATACATATTATTTAAAAAAAACAAGTCAACAAGAAATACCTTCATCTCCACCGTATACACTACTGTATACTGCACATAATAGTCACAGATCTGTTCCCCTGTAGCTTAGGAAATAAATTAGTTACCTGCTTAAGTAAAACAACCTATATTTAAAAGTATGGCACCAGCCGAAACCGGTTTGGCTCAGTGGATAGAGCATGAGCCTGTGGACTCAAGGGTCTGGGGATCGATTCCGGTCAAGAGCATGTACCTTGGTTGCGGGCACATCTCCAGTGGGGAGTGTGCAGGAGGCAAATGGTCGATGCTTCTAACTCTCTATCCCTCTCCCTTCCTCTATGTAAAAAAAATCAATAAAATATATTTTTTTAAAAATAAATAAATGTACGGCACCAGAAACAAATTCTGTCGTCTTTTTCAGAGAGAGTCAGCAGAGGGTGCGGATCACTGCTGTTTTTGGACACAGTTTAACGTAAGCTAAGGTGACCGGGCGTCCCGATTTTGAACAATTTGTCCCGCGTCCCCCGGCTCTTTTTTAAAACGCCCCGGGACGCGGGACAAATTGTTAAAAAGCGGGACAGTCCCGAAAAGCGGGACGTCTGGTCACCTCTAAGCATCTGTCTCCCCTGAGCCGTTCCTTTCAGCCACGACCAGCTCCCAGCAAGGAGACCGCCGGGGAAGCCACAGCTCCGGCCCCCGTCCGCGGTCACAAAGCAGCCGGTCCCCGCGGGCAGAGTGTCTCCGTTCCCGTCCCCGCGCGACCCCTTCTGCACCAGTGACCGTGGACCAGTCCGCACCCACACACCGCCCGCGGCAGGCGGCAGGGACGGGGCGCGGCCAGCCCTGACGTGGGTGTCTGGGAACACACACCCGACAAGGCAGCTCGGAGCCGCCGGCGACCCGCCGCCCCGAGCGCAGCGGAAGAGGCGACCCCTCCGCCCTCACGGCCCCCGCCTTCCTCACCCCCGCCCCCTTCTTCCGCCCCGACCCCTTTGCGCAGGCGCGTGGGGGAGAGCCTGCGCGGTGGGCCCCGGATGGAGGAGCAGGCCCTTCCCGGCCCCGCTTCCGCATCTCTTCCCAGGCCTTCCAATCCCCGTTCGGTCGCCTCCTCCCGCCGCGGAAGCAAGGCCTGGGCTTCAGGGAGCATTCGGGCCAAGTGCCGGGGGTAACACGCCATCCCAGTCCCCGCCGTGGGCGACCAGAACAGGCTCCATCTCTGCAGAGAGCCGAGAGCAGGCTTTTCCCAAACACCAGACCCACCTCTTCTGAGCCTTCTCCGCCATGGTTTGGCCCCGCCTCCAATTGGAATCCAGATCGACACGAGCGCCTGGGAAAAGCGATGATCTCGACAAGCGATTGGATGACCTGACAGGACTGGAAGGAGGCGGGGCTTGTCCTTCGGGGCGGGGCCGGAGTGGGGCTCGCCCCTCCTCTGCTGCCTGGGTGAGTCAGCTAGTTCTGGGCGGAGGTGTATGGCCACTAGCTGATTTCAACTCAATCTAGGGGTCCATAGGCTCAGATTTAAAACAGTTATTGAATCCAATCCAACATACATCATTATGACCTCATTATACTCCACCATTCATTTTTAGTCTTCATTCTTTAAGATGGAGACTAGAAAGAAGACTTCCTGCTAGGCCCAAGGATTTTTAGTCTTCATTCTTTAAAATGGAGACTAGAAAGAAGACTTCATGCTAGGCCCTTGGGCCTCTTCCTTGTTCAGTGAATTTACCTCTTTCTCGATGAGCTCATCAATCTCATAAATTAAGTACCTTTACTTACTGGCTTTCTCCGGTTAATCCTTTACTGAACTTCACTCCTGATTATTCAATTGCCTACTGCCTCAAAGTCTTATCAAACCTAGAGCTTTCGATTCATGTCTGGCTCTCTCTCCAACCAGCTGGTCCTTTGATCTCCAGCTCAGTAAAGCAAGTATGTCAAACTCAAAGGCTAACAAGGGCCAAATAAACATGGTTTAAGTTTATGTGGGCCGCAAAAAAACAAAAGCTTCAAGTTTCATCAAAACACAGGTTTATTTTGATAGAGACATGCTGAATACAAAAGGCTGAAGTAAATGAGTCATCGTTAACAAAATAATAGAACATTTTAATGACAATATTTTTTCTTGAACATTAACTCACCAGACACTGAATAACTGCACAAATTAGTAAGCGTAATGCAAAAAACCCTATTTTTCCTGTTCTCAGAAAGCAAAATATTTCCTGTTGCACATACCAAACAAGGCAGTACAAGATTAATGAGGTGACAATCGGCTGCTAAAATATTCACTGCTAGTATTAGTGGAGAGAAATGGTGCGCCTGTTTGGAAGGCATGGAAGGGAAATGAATGCAACATGATTCTAGTAATCAGTCATTAGTGAATGTTGTAATTCGTTATTATTAATTATGTATAACAGGGTAGTGTGAAAATTAAGTTACAAAATTTTTATTAAAATGTTTCTTACATACCGTTATATTGGCTGGGCCGAAAAAATTCTTATGGGCAACATGCTGCCTGTAGGCCATGAGTTGACGTGTGTTCTAGGCACTCCTCACCTCTCCATCTATATAATTCAACAGCAAGTTCTGCTGGTCCTGTAGCTGGTGTCTGTCATTCCACTTTGCATCATTTACTCTATCAGCTCTCTATTATAATCTCAGCTCCTCTGTGGTCTGCTCTCTCCACCCTTCACCTCCAAAGTCACCCCACCACGACCACCCACACCCCACCCAAGCCAATAGTTAAAATCATCCTTTAAAAACCAAATCCAGTTTGGTTTTTACTTCCTATTCCTTGTAAAATCCAGGCCAGCCTGGGTTGCTCTCAGTGTTTGGGCCTTGACCAGCATGGTTCAATTCCTGGTCAGGGCACATACCTGGGTTGCAGGCTTGATCCCCTGTGTGGGGCATGCAGGAGGCAGCCAATCGATGATTCTCTCTCATCATAGATGTTTATCTCTCTCCCTCTTCCTTCCTCTCTAAAATAATTTTTTTTTTTTAATCCAAACTCTTTCCATAACCGATCTCTGGGCTAGATCCTACACTTGCCTACTTCTCTTTTCTTTAATTTCATGTTCCTCTTCCTCTTTCTCTAATCACACTTTCACTCTCAAAGAAGGCAAGTCGACTTTCCACCCTAGATGGCTTTCACCTGTCCTTTGCCCTTTGCCCCTTTATGTCTCAGATGTCACATACTCTGTATGTCAGTTTTTTTCATTATAGTTGGTGTCAGTGAAGCAGGACTTACTAAAATCCTGGACATGTGATTTGGGGAAAGAAAGTATAAAAGGGTGGGGGATGAGGAACTTTTGATACCTATGGCTGCTGTCAAAGTTAGTTGGTGCCAATTCAAAACCTCAATTTGGGGTGCAGTAAAGAAGGAAACTTCATAGAGCTCCATGGCAATACATTATGGCTGAAAACAAAACAAAACAAAAAAAAAACACTACTGTGAAAAAAGGTGGTGAGGCTGCTTGGGAGCCAGGAGGCTCTGAGGTCAGGCCCGCTTTCAGCTAGGCAGTCTGCTCAGCTCCACCTGGGGAAAGGTAATCAGTGAAAAATGAAACCCTAGAGCCATTTTGATTGGTCAGAACTGTGCATGGGAAAGTGTCAGTCCTATTTGGTTGAAACAGGACTAGAACTCCTTAAGGGCTGGCTCAGCTGGCAGAAACAGTGCAGGCATGTGGTTTAACGCAGAAGCAAACAAGTTAGGGGCTTCTCTGCCTTTTTATTTTTAACAAGTATTTACTGAGTACATAGTACGTGCCTAGCATTGTTCTATGTGCTGGGGAGACAGCAATAAACAAAACAAAGGCTTTTCCTTGTAGAGCTCACATTTGTAGCAGGAGGACAGGCAGTAAACTGAGAAGTAGATTTATAAGGGGGTGGTAACAGATACTATGGAAGAAAAATAAAAAAAAAAGAGCCCTAGCCAGTTTGGATTGAAGACACAAGGGTCTTGGGTTCAATTGGTCAAGGGCCCTACCTCAGACAAAGGCTCCATCCCCAGGACCAGTCAGGGCGAATGCAGGAGGCAATCAATTGACATGTCTCTCACATTGATGTTTCTCTCTTTCTCTTCTCCCTTCCACACTAAAAAAAAAAAAAAAAAAAAAGGCCCTGACTGGTTTGGCTCAGTGGATAGAGTGTTGGCCTGTGGACTCGAGAGTCCCAGGTTCGATTCCAGTCAAGGGCATGTACCTTGGTTGTGGGCACATCCCCAGTAGGAGGTGTGCAGGAGGTGGTTGATCGATGTTTCTTTCTCGTCAATGTTTCCAACTCTCTCTCTCTCTCCCTCTTCCTTTCTCTCTGTAAAAATCAATTTTATATATATATATATATATATATATATATATATATATATATATATATTTTTTTTTTTTTTTTTTTAAATAGGTCCATCATTTAAAAAAAAGAAAAGGAAAAAAGAACATAAAGAGGAAGTGGGAGTTGGGAGGAGGGAATCTTCTTACTCTTTGAGAACCCACCTCCCTTCCTCATACTCATGTTTTTGTCTCTCCTCCCCCAGTTTGCAGAATTGTCTGTCCGCTACTGGAAAATAGGATTTTTCCTTAACTTAGTGAAGAAAATATGATAGTCAGATGGCTGGAAAGACAAACACTGTGATACGTAAACTAAACAAAACCAGAACTTTTGAAAGCACTTACATGCCATTATTAAGTAATATGACCACAAATGTTTTGGTTTCTATAGTGCAGTTCCTTTTATCAGAAAACCAACTTTTATGCTGCCATCCCTAGTGCTTTTGTTTGCCTTTTGCTCACCCAGGCCTTCCTGTGCCTTATAAAGAGACCAGAGAGCCCGGCTGAGGACTCTGCTGCA